TTTATACAATGAATAAAGGCAGGATAAAAATAAATAAATTAAATAGTAAGAGGCGTTCTGTAAAAGACATATACCCATCCCTTTCCAACCACTGAAGAAGATATAGTCTTAATCATATTTAAAACAGATTAATTCATATTAATGCAATTACTCCAATATTCCAGATTTAAGTGAACTTTCAGTAAGTCTTATTGAAACCAAAAGAATTAAACTCAGTAGTTTTTTTTAAAGTCTGGATCCAAGGTATCATTATATTTCTTTATAGCAGTTCTCTACAGTTTAAGGTATATTTTTGGATTTGTTGATTAATCCATTATCAGCTATTTCTCAGTGTACTAACTACTTCACCATTTTAAACCTATTGTGTTCAATGGAATTGCTTCACTTAGCAGGATTTTTTATGAGTTTGTCCCAGAGGCATTTAATTCATAAGAAAATACATTTAGAATTGCAATATAGGTAGTCCTTGACTTACAACCACAATTGAGCTCAAAATTTCTGTTCCTAAGCGAGACAGTTGTTAAGTGAGCTTTTTTCCATTTTACAACCTTTCTTGTCACAGTTGGTAAGTGAATCACTGCAGTTATTAAGCTAGGAACATGGTTGTTAAGTGAATGAGGATTCCCCATTGACTTTGCGGATCATAAAGTCACAAAAGGGGATCATATGACCCCAGGACACTGCAACCGTCATAAACAGGAATCAGTTGCCAAGTGTCTGAATTTTGATCATGTGACCATGAAGATGCTGCAATGGTCATAAGTGCGAAATACGGTCATAATCACTTTTTTCAATGCTGTGATGATTATGAACAATCACTAAACAAACTGTTGTAAGTCGAGGACTACCTGTATTAATACCTACATCCAACAAGCCTCCGTTAGCACCTCTTAAGTGTTACATAATTTTACCGAACATATGAATTAATGCAGCCTCACCTAATGCAACAACCCTTTCAGATGTATTAGACTATAAATCCCATAATCTCTAGTCTGGTGGATGGCAATAATAACTGTAGTCTGAAACATATGGAAGATATCGACTGAAGAACAATAAAGTTCTGTTTGGGACAGGATAGATATAATGAAATAACTCCAAAATACACCCTAATTTCTTCTATGCCATCACAACATGTAGGAAGTTTTCAAGCTTCTAATGGCCCAAGTATTACTGTGCCTCCGCTAATTTCAGTGGGAATAGATGCCAGGAATGGGAACTGAATGTAATATTTTTAACTATTGCAGCTGTTTTACCAACTACAGATTACCAATATAATATATTGCAAACTATATAATGTTCAACCTGGTACTGCCAATTTTGCAGGGATATGAGTTCCCAATCTAGTTGCATTAGTAGTTCTAGGTGAAATACATGAACTTACAAATACAAGCATGCCATACATTTGTTGTTCACCATATATATGTTTAAGTATATGCTTAATACATCATAAAAATCATGCTTGTAATAATGAAGAGGACGATATGTATATACAATAATCTGAAACAGCCTTAACTGATATCTTACACTTGCATTTGAAGAAGCACAAGAATACTGATTAGCAGAACACTGTTATTTGACCATTTAACTACACTATCTTGACAGTTTAATGTAACAAATCCTATATCCAGAACTCTGTACTTTTCAAAATCATTCACTGATTATGCTGTTGACTCATAGAGCATGCAATAAAATGTTGGCATCACACATCAATAGAAAGCCAAATAATGTTCCTGGAATTATATAGATTTTCAGATGGTAGAAGAGTCATGTGTGAACTTCAGGGCCAAAGTCCAAGATTTCTCAGCTCAGAAAGACCCAGTTGGGTGATAATAGTGGTATTCAAAAGACCTCAACTGCTAGGGGTATGCCAGTGGCTAAAATGCTTGACACTATTCAATATAACATGTTCTTTCTTTATTCTTCTCTTTAAAAACATTTCAGAATCAACAGGTGTTTCAATTCACTACAGAGAGTCATTGTATTATTATTTTATATTTATTATTGCTTAAGCAAGTTATCATTTTCCTGAACAAAGGATGGTTATTTCAAACTTCAGAATGCAGATACATTCCTTTATCTACTTGCAAATTTGGCATTCCTTAATCATTACATTAAAGCAATTTTACCATATTTACATCAGCTTTATATTTCCAGAGTCCCTAATGTGAATGAATTACATAGGAATTGGACTACGTAATTATTTTTATTGAAAACATGGCTTCTTCTGTTCTATGTCCCTCATTAACAAAATTTAGGTCTAAAATGCAGATCGTGCAAAGGAGGTACAAAGCACCTTAATGAAGCGTAGTTAAAGCTGTCCAACAGAACTATTTGCTGCCATAGACAGGGGATCCAGGGAAAGCAGAGCATATGACAAAATGTGTGTTGTGGCATCATGATGCAAGCCTTATGACTTACAACACTGAGATGCAAGCACAGACAAGCAAGGATTGACTTGTGATATCATAACATATTTTTCCTCATCTTTTCATGATTGCTGTTAGCAGCGGGACTTTATGCTATCACAGCTCTAGTTGAACTCCAACAGTCCTCAGTCCATAATCTAGCATGATATCAGATGTCCTAAAGGAAGATACTATGTATTTGCCATTTCTGGCTGAAGGGAATATAAAACTATCTTCTCTTACCTTACAAGACTATTGGACGAACTCTTGAGATCATGAAGTGAAGAATTGGGGGGAGGGAGGAAGCTAGGGAAGTTGTTCAGTGTTACTATTGCTGGCAAATAGTAAAGGCTCTAAGTAACCAATTTTATTTTGTCTGACTGATAATTTATATCTTTTGGTTTCTTTTTTTGCAGGACCTTACTGCTTCAGGTGTTTCTTTTAGCCTCTAATTCAGTGTTTCTCAAACTTGGCAACTTTAAGATCTGTGGACTTCAACTCCCAGAATTCCCCAGGGAGCATGAAGCCACATGTTTTAAAGTTGCCAAGTTTAAGAAACACTGGGTAGATTATATTGTTCTGTTTTGGATGGAACTGAGGCACTGACCTGAACTCGAGCTTCAGTAAGTTCCGTTCTCAGAGCCAACTGCTCTCTGACATAAACATCGGGGTAATGTGTCTTCTGGAACACTTTCTCCAGTTCTTCCAACTGTAAACTGGTAAAAGTGGTCCTGTGTCTTCTCTTCTTGCTGCTGGAAACATTGCTGTCACACTTATCACCAAGTTCATCCAATTCTCTTTTCTCCGGAATCCCTTTCACAGGAGACATTCGGAGGTTGCTGCAAGAGTCCAGCGGTCTGCCCATCTCAGAGTGCAGTGGTTGACTCTCAACTTTCGTAATCCCAAAATTCACTGCAGAAGAAAATAAACGAAGTTGGACTGCATTCATGTTAAGTTTAGAATCATTTTTAAAAATATGTGAAAAACCATAGATTGCTTGTAAGTGTGTGAAATGTTTACAGGAACATGGTCTACTCATGGGTAAGACTTGTTAGGCTCAGACTTCCTGTTATGTGAGTATCTAGAAATTAGTGAATGAATAAGGGTATTATTCTGGATTTTGAATTTAGTTTCATCAAGATTGAGGTCTGATTTTCTTCAAAGTAAAATGCACTTTTCCACCGGTGCTATTTCTTTTTCTAGGTAGATAGATTCATGCAGAATGGAAAATTAGATTAATATACAAACATATGGCATGGCACAGAACATATCTTCTTAGCAATACATCTTGTATTCATGGGAGTTAATTTTGTGTTAAGTCTATTCATTTAAAACAAGTCTTACCCTCTTCAATAGAGCTTATTCTCCATATAATATCTCTAAAGAGTCACTATACTGTGAAGCCTATGCTTGTCTATTTTTCATTTATAATGTAGTCAAATGAATTGCAGGTAGACAAGCAATATTATCATATATAATCAGAACCAAATTTACTTAGGAGTAAGATCAATTGGGGATAATGAAACCTATTGCTGAAAAAAGAATATGCAGAGGAACAATCTGAACATATTCCATTTGGGGGGGAAAATCAATTAAAGTTTTAAAATGCTTTCCTTTGAATGGATTATGTCCAGTTATTTTATTTTACAAATTATTTAATAATGAAAATTATTACAAGGATTTGTTAAGGAATAGAGCATGCTGAGTCACGGTTAGTAAGAAATGAAAATATTTCATCAAAAAATCTTGGATCTTAGTGGAGTGGCTTTGTTCCCAATTAGTTTCTTTATTACTGTAAACTGGGAAGGGAGCTCTTCAAAATCATAACTCAAGTCAAAATGGTTATTTCCTATATTTTGCACTGGTCCTACAAGAACTATTTGCCTTCTCAGAAACACTCACTGTCCAAGATAAAGCTTAAAGTATTCCCTCACCCCCACTTAGCTTCTGAACAAATTCCCATGATCCCCCCCCCCTTTAAAAATGTCATATTTCCAAGATAATTGATGTTACATGTTGGGGTAGATTCACAAGTTTAGGAGGAAAAAGTCATTCCATCTATCCATAACAGTAAGCATTACAATGAAAAGAACTTAACTTGCTATTTTGAACTTGTTTTTAGTGTTCTCTGTCACTCCCAGTAATTTCACTACACTGGTTTGCTCATTAGGTATGATTTTAGCTAGGCACACAAACACACACACACACACACACAGAGAGAGAGAGAGAGAGAGAGAGAGAGAGAGAGAGAGAGAGAGAGAGAGAGAGAGAGAGAGAGAGAGAGAGAGAGAGAGAGAGAGAGAGAGATTCATACACCTACATACATAAAATAAAATTATATATAAAAATTAAAAATTAAATAATTTAAGCAAGGTGAGCAACAATGATTTAAATTCTGCCAACAATATACTCTCTGGTTCCTTTCCTGGTAAAAGTTTGGTGCCATCTTCTATAGATATTCATGAATACTAGCCAAATATTAGGCATTAGCAAAAGAGCAAATTAATTAATACTTTTATGAAATTGGTAGATTTGTTAGATATTTACTGCATTTCTCCATATGTATATGGGGATGTGTGAGTGTGTGCTGAGAAATAATTTGTTCTGAAATCATTTGAGTTGTATTTTCTTAGGCACACTGAACACTGAGAATGTTACAAATGGTAGGATAAATCTTTAATTCTAATAATAAGGGAAGTTATACTATGATTCAAAATTAAACTTACCAAAACACAAAAATCATTGAACATAGTTGCTTTATTTGACATATAGTGTTTGGTATGTAAAGATCTTCCAACATAATGTATTAAATACCTTCCATTGCTGTTTTAATTGCAAAATTTCTAAGAAGCCTTCCACAGATTCAAAGTCTTTATAAATAACTTTGCACAGAATAAATTAATTATCCATTAGAAATTTGATATTTGTATCTGTTCAGCTATGAAAAAAATCATATTTTTCATTCTATATTCTTTTTAAAAAATTACAAATACAGTGCCTTCAAGTCAAAACTGTAACCAGTTGGCTGAGTCTAAAATTAGAGAGCAAGTCATATTTCTGTTGTGAATTATGTAGCACATAATTGCACATATTGCAAATCAGAAAATAAATGTAGCATTTAAAGAACAGAAATGCTAACTAATCCCAGAAAGCAGGGATTTTTTACTAGACGTTTTTAGACCAGCCTTGCATTGTTTTATTTTGTTAAGTGATGAGTTTTTGCACTAATTACATGACTAAAGAGAACTCCAATCCCCTTAAACTAAAGGACTAGGTAACCAAGCATTTCTTCTTGACTTGGTTTGTCAGGTTTAAAGAATGGGGTGGATAAGAGGTGAAAGTGGGAGAGCAACAGAAAAAGCTTCCAGGTTTAGCAGGCAAATCTGCCTCCTAAAGAGCAAGAGCTGTTTTGCTGATGTTTTTGTTACGGATTTTTGGATGACCCTGAAGCTACTGTGAAATAGTTGGATTTAGTGGAAGATGTGTTCCCTATAAATCTTCGAAACAAGCTAATTCCAACATACCCTTATCAGTTAGAAGTGGTGAAGTGTGTGGCTGTGCGTGGTAGACCAGTTTTTGGGATGAAAAAAAAATTGTAAGAACAAAACTTCTCAAAGGCAAAAGGACTCGACTTTCCGGACTGGAAAAGTGTTAATAGGTGCGCAGGGCTGCACAGTTGCTTTGGGACTCCATTGAAGCCCATTGAATTCTTACTTTTCAGTTGGTAAGTATGAACATCTAATTGCAAACCAAGGACTTCATTTCTGCTAGAGTCTGCCTCGCTGCCACTACTACTATTACTACTGTACTACTAATCACTTCTGCCACCATTACTTTGCTGTGTTGGGATGAAAGAGAGAGAATAGACTAAGAAGGACCTGATCCTTTTGATAATTTTAAGTCCTGACAGCATTTCGTTTTGATGGACTGTGAGAGTTTCTTCAATCTCCAGCAAGTAGGCAGAGGGGTGAAGCTACGCAGCACTTCCAGGCAACATAAAATTAACTCAAAAGGCAGCTGCTGGTTTGGGAGAGAGAGAGAAAGGAAGTAGCAGGATCGCTACTTAGCTGCACGATCCTTTATTTTACTCTTAATTTATCTTAGGGAGCACACGAAATAAAATATAAAAAAACTATTTGCTAAAGAAAGAAAGTAGAGGAGAAATATAGGAATGAAGCTATCTGTGAAGCAGCAAAGATTTTTTTACATTATTTTTTAAAATTAAAATAATTCAATGAAATCGTGCTGACCAATGCCTGTATAAATGGAGAGAGTTGGTCCGAGTGCTGCCTTTTGTGCCTTAGTTAAAAAAGAGGAAGAAAGCTATTAGAAAATAGATTCAGAGCGACTGACCAGTTGACCTTATGCAAAAAAAAAAACCTCAATGGCAGAACACTGTTCCCCCAACCATAATTAAGTTACCTAATCCTTCCGTCATGGCTTTGTTTTGTTCTGCCTAATAAGTTGTTCATTGAATGGTCTTGTTCTCTCTCCATACAAACAAACAAAATGTTGTGCTGTTATAATGGGCTGGGATCTCCAGTCAGATATTCAGTCGTAAAAGTCGAGCTTATGTACGATTCAGATCACTGTCGCATGGCAGCGAGGTGAAGTAGCGGACGAAAATGAAAATGAAAAATTGCTGCTGCACCCGGGTCAAAAGTAAAATGAAGTTTCGGGGTGCCAGTTGACCCCAAACAACTGCTGCTTTCTGCCATTCCTTCCCACCACCACCATCACACACACCCCGCGCCATCGCCCGGTCAATAATTTTAAGTTTAGAATCCCGGACTCTGCCTGCCGAAGCCTTTGTGGATTCACTTTCGTTTTGCTCAGGAGGAGGAAGATGTTTACAAAATAAAAGCGGACTGGTGTTTCCTCGTGTAAGATCGACGAGTAGATGAATCCAGAAAACATACAAGGGCAGAAATTCGAGCCTATGGACCAAGATGTGGACTGTGTGTGCGTTTTAATTTAAAACAGCCTCCACGTTTTCCAAGGATTTCCTATAGTACGTCCTTCCCAGAGGATCCTAAAGAAAGTGCATCGGGAGGAATTCGTCTGGGGACAGCTGGGAAGTTCAAATATTCCCGGGTGCTTTCCAAACCAAGCTTCTGCCTGAGGGAAGACTGTGTGCGGTGTGCGCGCGCGCGCGTGTGCGTGTGTGTATGCGTGTGTGTGTGTGTGTGTGTGTGTATGTGTAACCAGTATGCCCAGAACTTTACAAGCATTGATCAGAAATTGTCAACTATTTTAAAATGAAACGGCAGAAGGAGAGGAATACCTGGTGCGTTTTCTCGATGTTTAAAGCGTGCAGCCGGTCTTAAATATTTTTTTTCCTTTTCCCCGAAGTCACGCCTGTTGATTTCAAGGATTTTTGAGGTTCTCTCTCCCCCCCCCCATCCCGCCGCCCATAAATAACGCGAATCTATCGAAAGGCCTCTGCCAGGCATCCGCCTCCCCATCTTCTTCCCCGCGGTTCCTAAAGCGAACCGGAATCCAAAGACGTCGGGAAAAGTCTAGGTGGATCGAGCCCCCCAAAAGGCCAATTACAGCACCAACCAGAAACTAGCCAGCCGCGTTTGTGCCTGGCCTGTTGCGCTCTCTCAAGTCTCCTGATAATTTACGGTTGAGTGTATTGTGCGAACCCCAGTGTGTGTAAATGAGAGGTTAAATTTGTTATCCGGAACCAGACTTTTTTTGTGCATTTAGAGGAGGGAGAAGAATTGCCAAAGATGCCCCCCCCCCCCCATTCAACCGCTTCCCGGCTCCCCGTTCCCAGAGGGCAGGTCCATTGGCGCGGCGTTGCTTCAGCAAACAGGGCCCCGGGCCAGGTTTCGTGGTAGCCACCCGCCCCAGTCCTCCCCCCCCCACCCACCCACCAGCAGTTGCCTCACTTACCGGAGCCGTCCCTAACCGGGGAAGTCCTCTCCAGCCGGCCGTGTGGCGCGTAGGCAGCCTGGCCCAGGCATTTGCCGCCGCCTTTGGCGTAGAAGGCTTCGCCGCCCTCCAGCGCTTCCATGACGTGCTCCAAAGGGGCTCCGGAGGCCAGGTAGAAATCGCTGCTTTTGCCCGCCGCCGCCGGGGGGCTCTTGAGGCCGAATTTGTCGCTCAGGAATTCCATAATCCTCGACGGAGCCGCGCTCGCCCCAGCTGCCTGCCTGCCCGCCCGCCCGGCTGCCGTCCTGCTGCCTGGCTGCCGCGACGGAGGCGCCCCGACGACGCTTTTTATATCTGGAAGCGCAGCGGGGGCTTCTCGCGCAACCCTCCCCGCGCGCGCACAGCCTCCGCTGACTCCACCCAGCCTGCCGGCCCCTTCCCTTCCCTCTCCTCCCCCCCTCCGCCTCCTCCAAGCCTCGGCCCACAGTGGAGGGGACGCCGGCCAAGGGGAGGGGGGAGCGGCTGGGAAGAGCCCCGCGTCGACCGCAACCGACTCACATTTCGGGCCCGGCTCCTTCCCAGCCCAGAGGAGTCCGGCCCCCTCCCCGCCTCCCCGACCCCCCACCCCCCTTGCCCCAGCGACGCCGTCTCGACCCGAAGATTGAGCTTCGGCTCCGGTAAAGCGGAGGAGGAAGACCAAGGGACCGATGAGCGGGAGAGGCAACGAGGGCTGAGCTTGTCGCACGAGCTTCAAAGCTCTGGGCTGAGCCGGCAAGAGAGCGCGACCCCGAAATCGCCCGGGAAACTTCCCGGGCCGCCTTCGGAGGAAATGCCTTGGGGAAGCCAGCAAAAATGAGAGCGCTGCCAGGCCGGCGTGGAAAACAGCTGCTGCTGCTGTGCTGCTGCTACTAGAAATTTCAAAGGACTAGGGGGGGGGACGACATGATTGCAGTATTTGAGGGGCTGCCCTAAAGAAGAAGAGGGGGTCAAATTATTCTCCAAAGCACCAGAAGGGCAGGACGAGAAACAATGGATGGAAGCTAAATCAAGGAGCGAAGCAACCTGGAATTGAGGAGAAACTTCCTAACAGTGAGGAGCAGCTTGCCTTCAGAAGCTGTGGGTGTTTAATCACTGGGTTGTTTTTTTTTTAAAGAAGTGACTGGACGGCCACCTGTCTGAAACGGTGTAGGGTTTTCTGCTTGAGCAAGGGGCTGGACTAGAAGACCTCCAAGGTTCCTTCCCAGCTCTATTCTGACTGAAATTCGTCTGGAAGTATGCGGTCCTCTTAGTGGCTTCTGGCTCTCAATTCCTCACTCCGGATCCGAAACAAACTCAAGACTGTTGCTGGCTGGGTAGGATTCTAGGGCGCCTCCGGTTTCGAAGGACAGCCGCCTTGTCCCTGCGTTTATTTGCGAGGAACCTTTTTACCGTCAGGAACAGCTTCGCCTAACTTAAATAAAATTGGCAGACCAAAGAACTCGCCTCCTCGGATCGCGCCTCTGCTGCGGGAGCTCTGGGGATCTGGAGAAGCGCTCCTCACTCGAGGAAGGCGCAGTTACCGTCAAGTAAGCCGTAAGATGGCGATTTCCGAGGAGAACACCCCCCCCCCACACACACACACCGAAAGACATAGAGAGATGTCTGATATCTTGCCGTTTCAATCAATCAAAATATTAGGCGGCTTAATATTTCAAGCAGAAGGATGGGTCTATGTGGATCTGTAGCAAGGACTTTTCTTTTGTGTGAACCCTTTTGGAAAGGAGATGATAATGATGGTGGCGATACAATTTTAGTGCGGTTAACTGAAAAGTCAAACTCTTTCGCATCTTGAAGGCTAATGAGCTGTTTATGGACAGGTGAATTGTAACCTAGGAATTAGGAAAGCCCTTCTTTTTTTCTCTCTCCCCACCCCCACATATTTAATCTTTAATTTAAGCTACAAGTCTCGTACTGTTTATTTTAAGCAAACCTGCCTCGTGCATAAGTGTGGCGATCGTGCTGTTTATTGTTAAGAAAACAATACCGTCGAATCTGGATCTTTATCTGCTGTTAATTCTTCCATTCCAGAAAACAAAATACACGGGGAATGCTCCTCTTTATTCCTTCTTGCATCTCCTCGAGCAGATTTCCAGGTCCCCTACGACCTCTTATGTTCTTAGATTTCCCCCTCCGTTTCTCAGGATCGTAGGAATAGTGTGCAGAATAGACACGTTTCGCTTTGGCATGGCCTTTGGCCCGAAACATTTCTTGTGCTGAAATTGCAGGATACCCGTCCCCCTCCTCGTCGCATTCTTCCCTCGGCTGTGAACTTTGCAACTCTAGGGTTAAGAGAAACTGGGGTGGAGGAGGAAGAGTCATGAAGCCCCCCTCTCCTCCTTTGAAAGCAGGGGGGGTCGCTTGCTTTTTATGACACGAATTAACAGAACCTCGTAAAACGTCGGTGCTATTTTCCCCTATCAGAACCTCCCTTCTTTAACAAGGAGAGTTTTTGGGCACAGCTGCCGGGTACGTGCCCCGAGGAGTGAGATCTTGAGAGGAAAGATATAAGGCGGTTCAGAAGTAGGCCAGTTTTCTCCCACGGCTTCGAAACCACTGAGCATTTTGCTAGGCGTTTTACAGGATGCTCCTGGCGCTTCCTGATTAAGTATTGGAGACCGCGAAAAGAAGATAGAGCTTTTCCTTTTCTAAACCTGAAGTAGGAAAGAACATGCATCTTCAAACCCTCACAACTACGGTCACTTGGGGATATTATTGGTGTTGAATAAATAAACGCGAGGTGGGAGCCAGATTCGTTGGGAGAGAAATGTGCGTTAGGCGAACTTGAGTCCAAGCCACCCCTCTGCCGGTGGATTCCTCTGCGTTAAGCCACGGTTTGCCCACTCCAGGCGGGGCTTTGAGTAAAAGAGCTTCTGAGTAGGTGATGCTCCTCTCTCTACTGTAGAATCGCAAACAATACGAGCATTTCTGTCACTGACGACCCTCCAAACTGCACACCAATGCATAGGCATTTCCCGGAGTTGACTACCAAATTTCGAGGCCAATCCCGAACTATTTCAATCTGGAGAGCCGGATTTTTGCAGGAGCCAGTCAAAATCCCCTAAGGTCAGTCACAAAAGTCCTATACTCGTTTGGAAGAGCCTATCTTATCCTACCTGACAAGAATTTGGATTGGATTATTGGTGCAAAAGGCTCTGTCACAAAATAATGGATGCGCCATCGGCAATGTTTGCTGGCTTTGTGGCCTCTCCAGAAAAGCAACCGTGCCTCACGTTTGTCTCGGGCATAAAACCCCGGCTGCGGCCAGAAATAGCCTATTTCTATTTCTATTGGTCTTGGGATGAAATTCAGGGGTGACATGGTAGCCTCCCGACGTACACGGCGGAGAGAACCAGTCCCAAATTTTGCCACCGGAGGAAGGGAGGGAGATTTTCAGGCCAGAAGCAACTTACTATGTTAACAACTGGGATGGGATTGCAGTTTTGTGCAGTTACACAAAAGAAAAAGGTGCCTAAAGGACTGTAGCTTTGAAAATCGCCACAGGACCTTAGGATAACCTCCCGAGTTCGGAATTCCCTCGCCTTCCCTCCCTCCCTCCCCAGCCTTCATCAGCCCGAGAGATGCGGCTTTCTGTGCCTTTGAAATGAAAGTGATGCGCGCCCTCCTCCTTGCTGTCAAAGGCAGCCGACGCGAGGAAAGAATGAAGGGGGGAAGAGGAAGAAGGACCCCCCCCCGATTCGCCCTTCCTCCCTTTCCCCGGGAGGCTTGGGCAGGCCAAACACCCTGTTCCTCCCGGCCTCTTTCTTTGGAAGCCGCCTGGAATTTGGAGGATCCCCTCGTCTTCTTCCGCTGTGCTCGTGGCACAGTCTCCAGCGGCTTTGCCCTGGATTTAGGGAGGCTGTGTGACCTCTCGCCAGACAAGCTCCCGTGATTTATAAGCCTTGGCTGTGATAAGATCGAGCCCAGGGAGGGGCGAGGGAGGCGGACCAGCAGAACGCTTCCCTAAAGAGGCGGAAGGGAAAGGAAGGGAAGGGGAAAGAGTCTACTCTCCGGGCTCGCTGAATCGGGGGACCAGAAGCCCCGCTGGAGTCTCCCTTCGCAACCGTTTCTGAGTTACCTTCGGTGCGCAGCTTTGCCCCTTGCCTCTGCTCGCAGGCCCTTCGCATCTCCAAAGCCGGAGAAGCGCAAGACAGATCCCGCCAGAAGATCTTGGGGAAGAAGCCTGGGAGGAAAGGAAGGGACCGGGTTGCTTTCTCTGTCCTGTTCTATTCTGTCACGTCTTCTCCCACCTCTGTCCGCCCGCTCCATCGAGTCAGAGGCGCAACCGCTCCGAAGAGCATCCTCTGAAGGGCGCCTTCTCCGGCTGCAAAAGCCAGACGGCCAGGCTTCTCCCAGCGGCCGGGAGGCAGATGTGGGGCTGTGTTCCAGAAATGCAGCCTTCCCGGGACCGGCTGCAGAAGGGTGTCGGTTGGATGGAGAGACGGTTCTTGGCGGGAGGGGTGCGTGCAAGAGGAGGGGAAACAGTTCCTGAGATAACCTCGGGAGCCAGCCCGGGCAAACTGCCTCCCCGCAGCCCGGGCAGGCGGCGAGGAGCCCGCCTGTTGACGGACGGCGCTGAAAAGTGCAGCTGACGAATTGCGTCAGCCTTCAGCAACGGGTCTGCCCCGACTGTTCGCCCTTCAGAGGGTGAGATTGGGGGAAGCTAATGAGCTCCAGGAGCAGAGGACACCTCGCGACTCGCTTCCGAAGGAGAGGGGAGGCGGGGGGAGCGCGCCGCTGGCAAGTTGCTGGAAGAAAAGGTGGGGGGTGCGGTGGGGGGGGGAAGGAAGGAAGGAAATAAATGAAAGGGAGAGCAGCACTGTGTATTCTTCCAGCGCTGGTGTATGTGTGTGTGTGTGTTCATCATCTGCCTCTGCTAAAAACCTGAGTTATCCGAAAAGAAAACCGTTAAACATTTAAGATAACTATCCTCCACATTAAAAAACAAAAACCCGAAAGGGGGGGGGTGAGAGAAAGATTATAGGTAAAAAAAAGAAAAACAAAACAAAACACGGCTCTTTTAGTATATTCTCAGTTTTTTAAAAGTTTTAAAAGGCCCTTACCATTAAGAATTAGATACTTGATTTAAAAGCGCCAGTTCAAACGTTATAATGTTCTTAGTGCTAATAATTAAGCCTTTTAATATGGGCTCCCCTGTGGCTCAACAGCGGGAAGGAAAGCGGGGAACCCTCTTTCTGAGACCCCCCC